CTAAGAGGTTATTCTTTATATCTTTGTTATTTAGGCCAGCACCATTATTTAGAGGTATATTAAGTACTAGGAATCTATATACTTAGCTACTCTAATTGTATGTACAAGTATTTTAATATAAAAAACCCGTACATCTATAAAATAAAGCAAGTAACGCCATCTGTCTTCAAGTGAAGTAAATTATTGACAAAACACTATAATCAAACACGAACATATATCTATAGATCTGTTTAGCATTGACGCATTGTTAAGGTCTTTTGAGAGAATAAAATGGTTTTTCAACTAGATATTAAAAGAGTTTTTTGTATCCAAAATCAAATTGAATATCCCATTAAAAAGACACAGCTCATGGTCGAACGACGGGACGAAAAAAGTTTCGCACACATTCACGCCGGCTCTTGTCCACAATTCTATTTGCGGAAGCAATTTCGCGAAATGCCACAATTTATTTAAAAATTACGCCCTTGTTTGTGTGGGTAAATATTGACGTGTTTGGTTTATGATAATGGCAACACTGAGAGCAGGTAGACTCGGCTAGCGACAATATTATTTACCTGTACACATATTATTTAATATTTACCATACCAATGTAAAGTTTACAATATAATATTTGTTAAGTATGCTCCTCTTTTGAAAGTTAGTGTTTACTCCTTACATGTGGTTTTTAATCATAGGTAAATTTGAAGACTAAACATAGGCGAGAGTGAATTGTTGACTTCATTCTGCTTATTAGATTCTAAACAGGTGTACTTGTTGTGTTTGTTAAACCAATTATATTAATGTTTAAGTTCTTTTATTATGGTTTAGTTTTTTTTAACAAATTGTTATCAATAGAAATGTCTTCTTCTCAAATAGTTTTGGGGTATGTTAGTCTTAAATAGATTCGGTTTAACTCGTCGAGTACCGTCAGTTTAATTTCAGTTTATACACGAATGGCTGCCATCTACCCTCAATAAATACAAAAAACAGGAGTTAACAAGAACCTATTTAAAATACGGTCTTAGTATCCCATAAGGTAGTTCTCGACAATCTCTATCTTCTTAAAAAGACAGTTGCATTAATTTGAAACGTAAACATTCATCTTCCTTTTCCGTATCTTCTCATTGAAAGTCAAAATAGAGTCGTTACACTCGCCACCAGCGTCAAAAATACACACAGTAGCCGAGAGATCATAATAATCAATATACAAGTGTTGACTTATTACGACGTCGGCACTAGGCTGCCAAACAAACTCCTCGATCGAACGCAAAGTCAAACTGCAAACAATATCATCGTAGTATTTGTACTGAAACAACAAATTTGTAGCTAGCTTTAAATGCAAGCCTAACACGCGGGCACACACTCACCTTGTGTACTGAGACAATATGTAGGAGACTCTACTACGAACTTAAGCAACGCGACAAAATGAATCTCCGCTTGCGACTGATACGGCCCAATTCAAACACAGTCAGCGCCATTTTGTTTTGACAAGCGGCTATCTCAACGAACTCGACGCACACCAAACTTAACCGTAAGAACATACCTCTTAGAATCATATTGGAACAAAAGCCCGATGGTGTAGAAACATCGGAAATTAAGGGAGGACCAGACACGATTCTGTTTGCCGTCTAACGTGGTCCCAGGACGAAGTTACAAATATTTGACGTGTCAATTTTGTGAATGTTGACCGAGAATTGCGGTTAATATTCCCGACCCGAACAACCTGGCTGTGCGCGGCCACCCTTTAATTAAATGACTGAAATAGTCCAATTGTTAATTTATTAAGTCTACTCACTGGGTGGATATTATTAGGTGTTCAATTATTAATTGTTACTACAGCGTGATTGGCTGGGACTTTTGGCTTTATTCGTTGGTAACTACCTACTTGGAACCTTCATGAGCCTAATAGAGACTAAGGAATTTTGATAGACAATTGGAGAAGCAAGAAGTATCCTAACATTGTATTATAACCATGTTATGTACAAAATGTTAACAGATAGCCGAAATTAATCAAAACAAATTCTTTGTAAGTACCTGGCGAAACTACCTACACTCTAATACAAATATTAGAACTACCCACCAACTTCATCAGTTTATTCATTAACGTTCAAAGCCTCGTTGTTTTCCAATTGGCTCCGGATTGAACACAAAACTCAGTTGTTATCGAGGCGAGATGGAACAATAACAAACAATCGCGAATCGATTGTAAAGACAAAACATCGTTACAGCTTGTTAGGCCCATATTGCTCGTTACCGCGCGGCTATTTATTTTCGAGTGGCAACATCGAAGAGTCTATAAACAAAAAAACACTCTGGCGGCGACTGTTTTCATTGACAACAATGCGTGGGCCACTCTACGCGTAGTGTTAAGAGCGATGCTTGGAGTAGGCACTTACTTTTCGCGACATAGGTATCCGAGTAGGGGTCTCGGTACTGTATTTTCATTGTGTGCTTTTAATTTTGAGTGCGCGAACTAGCTCGCTCTCTCGGGACGAATGTTTGCGAGGGTAATATTTGCTTCCGCTGTATAATTCAGCCGGCCGCCATATTTGCCAAAGAGCAATCATTTTAATATCGTCAGGCATCACATTAGGGCTGAGTGGATACTTACTTTGTTAAATTAATTAATTTTAAAATTTAATTATGTTCTTTGCTCTGTCTCTATTGTCTTTTTTATTACAATCATTCATTGAACGAATTAGGTTGATTGAAGTATCTTTTTAAGAAGAATATTATTCACAATATAAAAATAGTTTAGTGACGTAAGTAAGTAGTGTCTTAAACTGTAAAGTGTTGTGAATTAATTGAAACTATCTACCGTAACTACTTACATTCTAAAGAGTTTTATTAGGTACCTTTCTTAGAGTAATATTTATAACAAATTACAATAAATAGGAGTATCTACCTATTTCAAATCTATAACCTTTTTTTTAAGGATGGAAAATCATCGAATGACTGCTCCCGCCTGGGTGAGGGAGTGTCAAACTCTTACACTCTTACTGACTAAAAACCACCCTGTTCCTTCTCCTGCACGTCGATCCGGAGCCCCGTATAGATTTAAATGTGTTTTTTATATAAGAACTTAGAAAAAAACTAGGCTTATTTAAGTTATTCATTAGTTGAACAAATCACATTTAGCTATTTTTCTCTAATAAAATAAGACTAAAACATAAAACAATCGAATAACAAAAAGTAGCATCACGCTTCCATCTAACTCCCACATCAATCACTAACATGAAGATATTACAATTCCACTTAATAGTGATCGTCGGGATTCTCCTTCTACAGTACTACGCGACAACAATTACTTACTGAGACGAGGTCTCCACTTGAGAACTTGATCACTTCTAGGAGCACAAAGGCATTTAGGTCACTTTACCTACCTAGACAGACACAAATCTGAGGCAAAGGTTGTGAATTGGCTTTGAGAATCGGTAGGATAACTTTGCATCAATTCTACCGTTCTGCTTTCTTTTTGAAATTTCTCATCAATTTTAGTCTCAAGCAATAGCCACTATTAATTTGTTACCTACTCTGCCAACAAACCAAGGAATAGAAAATAAATAATGTCGAAGTAGGTACTTGTTATTATTCTAGATAGTTCTCGAATATGTGCCCCAAAGCTCTTAATAAAACTATTATTGCATGTAGCCATGTAGGTTTACATTATTGTTTGCCCTAGAATGTTCTCATATACCCCGCTCGGAATCAAATCAAAATGTTTTAGTAAAGTTACTAGTAGCGGCACCTAGTGTCATATACTAAAATTAAAATCTGTTCCTAAAGAATTTTGATAGATACCGCCATCTATCTTGCATGCTAAGATCTATGTACCCCTAATGTTACCAGGTAATTAAAAAGAAAAATCATTATTACTGCTTATATACAGTTGCTGAATGATATTAATAATAAATTATTATATTATATTTTATCGTTACTGCAATTGATAAGGTTAAAAAATTCAAACCGATTACAAGAGATATTTTAATTCACGATTTATTATAGCGAGCGAAATTTTGTCGTTATCAATGTAGAGACTACCAGTCGCGCGATATCGTTACTTACAACTTGTTTATTTGATTTTATTTTTTAATTGTTCGACGGGGCTATAGTAAAAGAAAAAGTAACATAATAAATTATTCTCCAGCCACTTTTCCGTCAGTATTATTGTAAGAATAACTTGACTGTGAAGTTATCACAATGACTAGGCGGCCGACTACTGTACATCGAATCCCGCATTAGATCGTTGTCTGATCTACAAATTGATGGATAATGGCAACAAAGGAATATAATAATTTGAAGGAATTCTTGACAATACTTTACCAGACTTGCTCAACAATCTTATCTAGTAGTAATACAGAAGCAAAATAAAACTGGCTGTGTCCGCGTAAAATAGTGGTTAACAGCCCCTCCCCCGTAGGTGATAGCGTAATAATATGTAACCTATTCGAACCCAACTTGTTGGTAACGACGCCAGCTTCTCATGTATGAGAATACGGTTTCGAAACCTACCAACGGCAAGTACCAATGTGACTTTTTCCTAGTTATATATACCTACTTTCTAAGATTATTTAGAGACCGCTGACTGACAAACGGTGTAGAAAAACATCGTGAGGAAACCTGGGCTTATAATTTCTAATTATTAGTCTGAAATCGCCAACCCACATTGAGCAAGCGTGGTGATAAATGCTTAACCTCCTCCGTGTAAGAAGAAGAGGCCTTTGGTCAACAGTGGCCACTTATAGGAGGTTGATGTAATGTAATATTCATGCAAAATTTAATACAATTAAATCAATGCAGTACTTTTTAAGTATAGCCCGGACATACATAGAAATTCTAAAAACCCTACTTTTTGGTTTCGTTGTTAATTGAAGATTATGTCCCAAGTATTCAATGTACAGATTACACTTTCCTACGATTTTATTACATAAAAATAAGATATGCGATATTTAATTCTGCAATGCTTAGCAAATAGGGAATACTTTGTTCATAATTATAAAGGTTCAAAATGAAACAACAAATGTTAAAAAATTTATTTATTAAAGTATCAAGTTGTATCTCCAGGGCAAACAGAATAAGACGCAAAACCAGTATTACGTCACACAAAAATAAAATTATTAATCTGAATAACAGAAAAAAAAGTTACAGAACGAAAATTAAACTACGAAAAAAATATTAACAAAAAATTGCCCACGAGATTAATTAAAAACTAAAATTAAACTCATAATTTAGTATTTTAAATGCAGTTTGAGAATTCTTAGTGTTTATAAACCTTAACTACAGAGTGTTCGCCTAAAATCCCACCAAAATAGGATCCTATGAGGTAAAAATTAGCCTTACATTAAATGCATTTAGCTTATAATATTGTCCCTTTGTAAAACTAACCACGCAACTTAATTAAATATAATTATTATTGACAATATGGCGACTTTGAGAAATAATCACGTCTCTATTTCTTCATAGACTTGGCAGAACTACTCCTAGGAGTATTCTTTGGCTAATAGCATGATTTAGCCAAATTACTATTCAGAATAATTAGACATGAACTGCTAGGCAGTATTGTATTTTAGTCACAAGTATTGCCAATGGTAATAAGTATAAATTAAAACAATATTCTAATTAAAACTTAAAATCTAAGAAAAACGTCATGTTGTAGTCAAACTCCATAAAATAAAATGGCATATACACCATGGCCACAATTGCAACTTGATTAGATTACGATAACTGTACTGTTGAGGTACTAATAAATCATAATTAATATTAAACCTATGTTATAAATAAATTCAGATTATTTACAATAAGCACGAATAATTTTAATATTACCAGACCCTAATATTTTTAAAAATGCTGTTTCATTATTGTTAATTCGAAATATCATTAAATTTGTAAGTATAAGTGCGAAGATTGCACATTTTTGCTCATACAATGAGTATTTTTAAGTTAAAATTTACGATTAATTTACATAATTAGAGTTAAAATATTGTCATGATTAAATAGGCGGTGATTTCACTCGACAAGGAGAGGGAATTCCTCTATATCTTCACACATTGAATTGAAGTTGGCTGCCCATTCCTCGGCTTCCTTTTCCTGGAAAATAGACATTAAGATGATAAAAACAAATAAAATGAGAAGTACATTACTGTTATTAAGAATATTATAATTTTACATAACAATAACAAAAATAACTAACTGGGGCACAGTGGCTGCTAAGACTTAATCACAAAGATATTTTTTTACATTCATCAAAATGCAAGCCTTTCATTTATCTCATAAAATTGAGTTATCAATTATCATTATCTAAGTAAGAGCACAAAAGTTATTACTAAACATTAACAATTACCTCTTTCTTAGACATAAGCCTTTTAGGCTTTTTCTTCTTATTGACTTTCTTCTTTTGTTCCACATTTGCAATTTCGAAGGTCAGATCACCAAGATCATCATAATCAGTTGAATCATTCGGATCCACCACAGCTGGTGCTGGAGTATCACTATCTGAATTAGATGGCTGCCGGAATGTTACTTTTTTAGATTTCCCATAACTCTTGCGTTGGGGCTGGAAATGTAGAAAGAATTGGTTAGAACAGTTCTAAAGTATAAAAACTACAATGAAGAATCAATATAAAAATTACTCATGCATTTTGGTAGATATGCCATCATGAGTAACACCATAGTTAAGAGTAAAACCTTTTCTAAATTCCAAGTAAAATAACAAGATTATATTATAGAAATGCTCACCTTCAAATGATGTACAACTTCTATATCTTCAAACAAATGTACTGATTGTGAGTCATCATTCATCACAGACTCCTCAACATTAGTTTCATTAGACTCCACATCCTTTTCGGGGAACACTGGTGCATCAGCAGCAGATTTTAACTCCTCATAGACTCTATTAACTGCTTCAGAACTTGTAGCTATCTTAGTCTTGGCCGCCACTGGTAAATTAGCTCTTAAAGGCCCATTGATTTCTTGCAGAACAGCCTTTGTTCTAACCCTCAAAGATCTCCCTCTTGGTGCAACTTTCACTGGAGATACATTCTCATCTTGATTTTCACTATCATCAAAACCAAAGAATGTACAGTCCTTATCTTTTTTCTTTCTAGGAGATTTTGCTGGTAAATCACAGATGTTCTCAATGTTCTTGCGCTTTTTAGGCCTCTTTTCCTCCTTTGAATTTTCTTTATCATGAGAAGTGTTGTTCCCACTTAATACTTCTTCAGAAGTATTATTGCTTTGTTCAGAAGTTTCATTATAAACCCTATCTCCTCTTCTGTTAGGTCTTTTATTGACATTTTCATTCCTATTTACATTTTCCTTCAATACAGCTCTGGTTGGAGACACAGATTTAGATCTCCCTCGTTTCTTTCTAGCACTCTTCTCTGCCATTTCTTTCATAAACGAAATTATACTAGGTTGTTTCAGATTTGGTGTAGTTTCAACCATTTCTGGTTCATCATTTGCTTCTGTTAATAAATTAGTGTAAACATGTTTTTTTTTCATGGAATCATCTGAGTTAATGAAGGAAGTGTCTACTGCTGGTGTCATGTTAGGTTTTACATAAGCGTTTACTCGCCATTTTATGGGTAAACTTCCAAATTCAACTCTCCATGGACTAGCCATGGGATGGCGGACAGACATGTTCATGCTACTGCTAGCTACAGGCTGATCATCAAAGAAGCTGAGTTCCTCTGCCAGATTGAGGGGATCATTATTGTGAACAGATCTTTCAGGTGTAGGCTTATGATTAGCAGAAGCATTAGGAGTACTTAGACCATTCACAGGTCTTGGTGAATTTACAGGTGAGTAATTCAAATCATCATGATGATCCATGCTTGGTTCTATATCAGCAGCAATGTCTTCCACTCTTATTGATGGGTAATTGAACCCATGTACAGAAGGTTTTTCAGTGTCGTTCAAAGGATTATTTTCTTTTGTTACATTATTCATTCGTACTTGATTTTCAATATTAGCAACATGACTTTCTACAAGATTTTCCTCAGCAATTTCATTACTGTTCTCAGTAATCTGTGGTAGATTTGGACCTTCTGTGGTTTTTGAAGGATTGACAGCATTTTTCAATGCTGCCAGTGCTTTTGATATGTTCTGATCATAACTGCTCTTGTATACAACCTTTTTCTGCTTAGGTGCGGCAGCAGTAGGAGGTTTCTTTGTTACAACCCTTTTTCGTTTTTTCTTTTGTGGTTTGGGTTCTTCATTGGGATCAAAAGTGAATTCATAAATGTCATTTTCATTCTCATTGTCATCATGTTGTTCACCATTCTTCTTGCTTCCGAGCAATTTAAATGATACATTTTGACTTGCCTTGTTATTAGACTTTTTGGGACTTAATTTACTTTTGGATGATATTGGTTTACTTGGTACTATTGGAAATTTTGCCATTGGTGTTAAGAATTTTCTTATAGGTGATGCATTATTAGTTGACGAGCTTTGATTCATCTTTGGAGGGCTTTTCTTGAGTGGAGATTCTTTTTTATTGGTTGATTGTTGAGCTTTAGTAACTCTCTTTGATGGTGACTCCTTTTCACTACTTTCTTGAGTTTTAGCAACTTTTCTTCTAGTTGATCTAGTTTTGGGGTTATTGTTAGTATCAGGACTACTTTTAGTTGAAGTTTTTTCAGTAGATTCCTTTTGTTGAGTATTTCTTGTAGATCTAGTTGGCCTAGCAACAGTATCATGATTTTTATTAGAGGTTTTAGTTATACCTATGATTGTTTTATCTTTTTCAGTTAATGTCACAACTGGTTTGGCTTTAGAGAGTTGTATCGGAGTACTGGCATTGGCTGGCTGTATTGGAATGTACTTATTGGGGCTTATGGAGTGGTCTTCAAGCCGTGATGGTAAGCGACAAATCCTTCTGGGACGGTTAGCAAGTAAACTACTGTCAGTTTTACCTGGAGTTTTGAAGGGAGATGGATCTGTTTTATTTTTAGACAAACTATCTAGCTTTATTGGTGTAATATTAGATTTAGGATTAGTTAACGGACTACTGAGCGACACATTTGGACTTTCCTTACTGTTTGACAAATTATTCAAGATCGTATTTTCGACAAATCGGTTCGGCAATCGCCTGTCACGCCGTGGTCGTACTTCATTTGTTGAAGGCATGTTCGCTTTCGGTTGTAACACGGTTTCTTTTTGTTTTGTTTCAATCTTCTCTCCATTCTTGTTTGGACCTGTCTTCAAAACTTTCGTGTTTGTTTTCTTAGCTTTATTCGGGATTTCTAATGACCCTTCGTCTGACGCAGAATTTGTTTTGTCAGCTAATGCTTTTCGAGGTCCTTTGCTACTTGTTTTAACAAGTTTCATATTTTCCGTAACATCAATATTTTCTTTGAGAGCTTTGGAAGCTCTCGTTCTGATCCGCGGGGGCATGACGCTATGTAAAAACAAACATTCAATTTACGAATTTGGACACTTACAACACGATTTTATATGTCGACTACGTATAAATATATTACTTTTGATTACTTTATTGTTTTAATTAATTACACATTCACAAAATCACACAAAAATATGTCGCAATGTGTACAACTTTCTTTCGTTTTCGCTCGTTTTTTTGACAATTCCTATTGTGACAGCAGGAACAATAAATGTTACCATAGACAAAATAGTCTTCAATAATATTTTTTAGGCCACTGGCTACTTTACTTGTACTCGTTTTATTATTTTTTATTTATGGACGTTGTTATATATTATGTTACTTTATTCTCAAGATTTTCTTTTTATTCTATACAATTCAAAGGAGTAAGTGAAAATTAAAAATAGTTCATATTAAAATGACAAAAAACCTAATTTGCTACACAATGGAATGTGTTTTTATGTGGATTTTTTTTATTCGAGGTTTAAATGATGAACATAGACAAATAACTACATAAATATTTACAACTTAAAATTAACTACAACTAAACTATTAAATAAAACGAAAGTAAAAAAAGAATACAACAAAAATTATACCCTTAATTTAGGCGTCAAAGTATTCGTCCTCATCACTACCACATGGGAACGTTCCCAGAAAACTGGCAGCATTGCACGTTTAATGGCAATGCTTATTTTCTGTCCGAAGAAAAAGCCAGCCCTCCGGTCACGCGTAGAGTCGATTAGCCTACGGGCGATATCTTTAAATACAGAGTGTGCACTGGGACCACATGGCCCAAGTGTTTCGACCCCAAACGGCTCAAAACAGTAATTACCCACTAGATTAGAATATTTACGCCGTTTGAGGGCCTCTGCCGCAGAAGTAGCTGCACCAACGCATGTAGCGGTGCTTAAAAGATTTTTGCCGTCATCACGTACCAAACCATTAGGTTCTAATACGGCTATGGAATGTTTTGTATTTATGAATCTATGATATATATTTTAAATAGATTCTAGATTTACACTCAAAATGTAAGCCAAGATGAACCGAGTAACCTGTATGATTATTTATCAGTCCTATTTTATTAAAAAGAGTTACGTTAATAGTTTGGCAGCCAGTAACTTGTTAACGATCATAGACAATAACATGTATTTTGTTGAATTATTCCCAAAGATTATTCCGTAGGGTAACCCTAAATTTGAATATGTCGTTGATCTTGAACCGTTGTATTTTTAAACGTTTTTGTCGTGATTTGTGCTGTTACAAAATAATAAGTTAATAAAAGACTTAAAGACTATTAATTTAACCACCTTGTGTTTGTAGTTTTGCTACTTTAGTGTTTAGCTTTACGGTATGTAATAGAGATAACACTGTGGCTACTGAGCAAACATAAAGATCCTTGTTGGAAATTGTGAAAAAAAAAATGTTTGAAAGCATTTCTTTTTGGACGTTGTGCATTCAAAATAATTATAAGTTAAAACTTTAAAGAAAACATTTCAACCAAGTTTTAAACCTTTTTACAGAAATTGTCACCAATGTCAGGCTATACAAATCAAGAAGCCACTAACTGGACATAAAAAATTAAACCTGACAACTGACAATTCCTTGATTTGCTGAAAAACCCGGAAATTAAGGGATATGCGAGCTTTGTTGATGATTTAGGAGTGAGCGGTGTTTTTTTTAGCTAAAAAATAGACATCAAAATGGTGGAAGGGGATAGTAAAGGGACCATTGACACAGTGCAAGTTGCACTTAGAATTAGGCCTTTGATGCAACTGGAGACTGATAGGGGATGTGACGAGTGCATTGATGTGGTTGCTGGACAACCTCAGGTCCAGATAAAAGACTTGGCATTCACATACAATTATGTCTTTCCACAACATATCACGCAGCAGGAGTTCTATGATACAGCCGTCAAGGGTCTGATTGGAAAACTCTTTCAAGGTAAGTGTTGTTTACTATGCTACACAAATAACTTATAAATACAGTTTGTTACAAAAGTTTTACACTGCAAAAATGGGTAAATTGGATTTTAAACAATGAACTGTGTTGTAAACTTTTTTTCTAATAATAATTTTAATCTGCATTCTTTCTTGATAATAAGTTTAGAGATTCACAATCAAAACATGTATTTGGATTGGATGTTTGTTTTGTTTTTCAGGATATAATGTAACAATACTAGCGTATGGCCAGACTGGCTCTGGCAAGACTTATACTATGGGAACTAATTATTCTGGATCTGATGGTGACTCCACTAAACTGGGTATGTATTGTATAGTTTCATCTTGTTAGACTATTAATCTAATTAAATATTGTTATATCTTATGTTTTTCAACTTCAAAAGAGTAGGCATTTGAAAATTTTTTCACTTTTTAGTTGCTTATTTATAAATTAACATAACATCTTACCTTTAAATTATTAAGTGTTAGGCTGAGGTGCATATAACACCCACTTATGTTATAATAGTAAGTCCCATGCAGTTTCACCCGCTGCACGGGGCCTATTGGTTATAACATGATGTTCTATAGCCTTCCTCACTACATTCACTAGTCAGCAATCAGACCAGTAGTTCCGGAAATTAGCATGCTCAAATAAACATACTCTTCATTTTTACATAGTAGTAGATAATTACATATTTTACATAATTACATTTACATTATTTCCATGTGGCAATAGGCTCACCCCCCATTACATGGAACTCATAACATAAATAATGAAAAGTGGGTGTTACATTGCAGTGGCACTAAGTGCCGCAATGTGCACCTCTGCCTACCCCTTCAGGGATAAAAAGGCGTTATGTTATGTATTATTATTTCCAAGTAATATTTATAAATAGACAGGGTTTCTCCTTTTTGATCTTTGAAGTTAGGAAAGTTCAATAGTTAACAAATTTATTTCCTCCTCAGGTGTAATTCCCCAAGCAGTGGCAGATATATTTGATTTCATAGAGACACATGAAGACAAGTTTATATTTAAAGTGAATGTTTCCTTCATGGAGTTGTACCAGGAACAGTGTTATGACCTGCTCTCAGGGAAGGAGAGGGGACACAGTATTATAGAGATAAGGGAGGATATTAACAAGGGTGTGATACTGCCAGGTAAGGTGCTACATAGCATCATGAATATTATTTTCATTGTTTTTTCAGTTGATGCATGTCTCAAACAATAGTGGGAAACCAGGCACTATATTTCTATCACAGACAATTAAGATGTCTAAGGTAATTTTTTGTTATGGGGTAACCTGGTAAATAAGCAGATCGATCACTAGATGGTAAGCAAACGTCGCCCACGGACACCTGAAACACTAGAAGCGTGACAAGTGCATTACAAGGACTTTGAGAATTGTGAATTTAAGGATCCAGTGACTTCACTCACATGACGAAACACAACGCAAGCGTTGTTTCACGTCGGTTTTTTTTGGGCTGTGGTATCATTTCAGTCGAGTCGGCCCATTCATGCCAAAGCATTACTCTCCCACTTAGATGATCTGAAGATCTTATGTAACTTTCCTTCCTATAGGATCTTGGCCTGAAAATCAATTCAGGAAAATTTAGTTCTTTTAATTTCTCTTTCATAGTATCATACAACTGAATTGATAAATTAATTAATATTGTACTCAATTATTCATCAAACAGGATATCAGAAAAACAAACATTTTTTTTTAATCAATCTCTTGATAAGCCTAATTTATCAGTTAATTTAATTGTGTTCTTTCTTCTCAGGTATAACTGAGCTCCCAGTGACCTCAACAATGGAGACCATGATGGTGTTGGAGCGAGGGTCATCAGGCCGTGTGACAGGATCCACTGCTATGAACCAAGCGTCCAGTCGAAGCCATGCTGTCTTCACCATTGTCATCTGTAAAGAGAGTAGGAGTGATAAGTAAGTTTATTCTCATTTAAACTGTCAAACACCAAGCGGTCACCGGTGACCGCAACCTATTGTTCTATAATTGTGTCTACAAAACCGGTACTCGACGAGTTAAAATGTGACTATTGAATTATGAAGCATTCTTATTGGATGGCTTGAGAGAAGTATTATTGTTGCAATTAAGTGAAAAGACCATAAAATACAGGGATCATACTTAATTCATACATTTGGTAACCTTGTAGTCACTGAACTAATAAGGCAATCAAATAACAGTAAAAAATTTAGTTAATACTTTATAGTGGATGTATCTTTTTAGCAAGATAAGAAAGTAAAATACAAGTTAATAACTGTTCCCCATCTGTTGCCAGTAGGTCTACTAATTAACCAATTGACGCAACCTATTTATTTGCTGTCTTAGTTGGATACAATGTACTGGATGAGTGGATGTGTACTGACTGCTACACATTTTTGGTTTATGTATATTTTTAAACAGCCATTTTTACGTTTAAAAAACCAAATAAAACTTATTCAGCCCTCGGACATGTATTATTGATTTTTTAGTCGCACCAAGACGCATTATCGACAGTTGCATGCGACCACATAACAAGAAAAACAGTGAACGAACTGTATTTGTAATGATCCCTGACGTAAAGCCTACTTTCATATCAATGTATTTGAATTACAAAAACCTAATTCCGTTTCAGAAACTTAGCAACTACTTCAAAGTTCCACCTAGTAGACTTAGCGGGATCTGAACGTATAAAAAAGACGAAGGCGAGTGGTGAGCGGCTTCGGGAAGGCGTTAAGATCAACCAAGGTCTGTTAGCGCTCGGCAATGTGATCTCAGCTCTAGGAGATGGAACTAACAGGAGTTTCATCAGCTACAGAGATAGTAAACTTACAAGATTGTTGCAAGGTAAGAATACTGTGGTAAATGCCAATTTTGAAGTTATTTAGTGTGATGGAACACATAGATTTAAAACATTTTAGAACAAAAACGGTTTTTGTGATTAAGTTCTAATTTTCTGTAAGCAACAGCATGAAGATGATTAGCTTGCTCTTGCTTTTAGAACATTTTGGGCGAGGCTTATTTAAATATATAACGATCTTTTTTCCACCGCGGTAGGCGGCTTGCGACCGCAAGCCAAGTATGTACCGAGGCTTTAGGTTTTGTAAAAAGATCGACTTTTGAGTTCGATTTGTCAAATACGAAATGCCATATTAATTTACCTAGTTCATTTTCGAAACATTGACGTGTAGGTAAATGTTCTATTTCGTGGGCTGTTTATTAAATTAATATAACGAATCTAACTTTTTATTCTCAAAAACCCCTTATCTTCCAGACAGTTTAGGCGGTAACTC